GGAATTTCACTGACTTGTACACATACAGCTGTAATTCTCACTGCAAACAGACATTTACACTTGCAACTTTGCCAGCTTGGTCCTGTAGTCTGACCTATCTGGGTAGATGTGAGGGGAGACAAATGACTTTAGTGGCTCTCTGCCAGCAATATCCAGGCACGTAACTGCAGTTTGTGCTCAGTGCTTGCACAAAGCGATAGGATGTATCCTGTCCCAGCAGGGTGAATGGTCTGAGATCCCACCATACTCCTGCCAGCACAAGTAAACAGTAATCATGCCAAGCCAAGCTAGAGAAGATGCTCAGAGGTAGCAGCTTTGGTTATCATCAGAAGAGTTCTGCTGATTCCTGAAGAATGAGCTTGTAGGTATAAGGTGACTGATGCTGCAGGAAGGAGTTGTGATATTTAACCAGGTTAACACTCAGCATCCTGTCACAACCAAGCCTTTGCAGCTGAAGCTTAGGGAATAAAGTGGATGGCTTCCACTTACTGCAGCCTTTCAGCAGTACCCGAGAACCCAAGTCACAGACAGAGACTCTACTAACGGTGCCATATACAGACTGCTCCTGACATAAACCTTTAGCCTAAAAGTCAGGTCACAAGTAGAAAAATCAAGGACAGTTGTCATAGGGGAGGAGTGAGAGAAGGAATGATGTTTTCTAGGACTGACTGCAGGACAAGATCAGACTAGTTTAGGTTACACTAATGTAAAATTAAGCTAAAGGTTAAATTTCGCACTCCTAGAAACAGGGTGAAAATGTAAGTTCACCTATTTACCAATTTCTAACAACAAAGCTTTATGTTGCCTATTAGGTAATAAAAGAGGGTTTTAGTGCCACAAGATACTGCCCTGGGGCAGAGCCCAGTTCAACGTTCATCCTGAGGTTAGAGGCGCAGGGAGGCTCTTGCACCTAAACAGCCAGTTTAGGGCTTAATCCTCCTCAGAATTCAGGTGTTATTCACATTTCTTAACATCTTATGGTTTAAGAATTTCAACAGGAAGACTTTTGGTATTTTGTTATGTACTTTACAATATTTTTATGGCAGAATCAGTCATCTGACTGTTTCAGGGACGTTCTTTTAACTCTGTTAATATAACCCTGTTTAATTTTGTTCTCAGAATCCTAATGTTGTAGACTTGGTTCCCAGAGCTCCTTTGGGTCCGATGTCAATAGTACTGATGTAAAATTCGGTATCAAATGTGGTGACAATGACAAATTCTACTAATAAGGAACAGTGATTCCAAAAGGCAGAGAAAGTAGATCTGTTAAAGATTAGACTGACACCCCCCTAAATGAATGACAATGTAAATGGAACAATCTGTCCAGCTCAAAACCATCCTCTTAGGGGCAAATCACCTTAAGGAGGAGTTTCAGTAGAACAGTGCTGGGAATCTGCTCTGACATTCTAAAATCTCAATGACTTATAGATAGCCCTAGCTTAAAACCCAGCAACTTCATACTCCAAAAGGCTAATTCACACCGAGGAACAAATGATATTGTTAGTTAAGTTCTTGGATGTGCCAGCCTGCACCTTTTCACCAGTTACTAAACCAACAAGGGCTGATACTTCTCCAGACTGTAAGTTTGTTTTGCCTTGGTAAATATAGACATTGAGTTGGATATTGGAAAACACTATGGCTCTGGGATAGAACTGGGATTGTGACTTTGTGCTGCTGCACGTGTGCCACATGGATTTGGTAGCACAGGTGTGCATTAGGGGCAGGGGAAAGGGCTGTGTCCCTCCCAAAGGGGGGACATGTCCAGTACCCAGCTCCTGAGATGGGCTTCCAGGCAGATGAGGCTTTCGGCATAGGGCAGTACAAGGTGAGACAAGAGAACAGTCATCACTGCACTGTATTCACAGCAAAACAAAACCCCTGACTTCAGAAAGGTGAAAATGCCCATAAACATCAAAACCAGCTTTAAAATGGACAAATCTACAGCTGGCCTGAGCATGAGAACTGTGTGATTTCACTGCAGGAGCACAGGAATGAAATCTGGAGGAGGAACTATACCTTTGCCTACACTTACTCCACTATAAGCCAGTCTTGTTACAGAAAAGAAGTGCTGCATCTGCCCTCTTGTGCCTGCTCTGGATTTGGGTTTTTTCCCATCTTAGATTAGGTTCAGCTTCCCAGGCTAATGATGTGTACAAATGCTTGTGCTGACATGGGTGAAAATGAGCAGCCCAAGGGGTGGGTGAAACTCCTTCTCTCATTCACGTTGGCTTGGGAAACCATGGCCTCAAGTGCAGGTAATCCTGGCACTCCGTCATTCCCTAAAGCTGCTCCTTCCCGGCTTCCTCTTCAAACCAGGAGGCTTCAGTTTGATGATCAGAAAACACAAACACGAGTAGATCTATCAGAGTACGCAGCACAAACAAAGCCTAGGCTGGGAAAAGAGGTGAGCTAAGCACAAGGACAACTAACTAGGGTGGATTAACACCCAAACAAACCCAAGGTGCCAGGGCAGGCTACGGACACTCCATGTTTTGAGACCTTCAGGTCAAGACTGGATCCTCTCCCGGCACACAGCCCAGTGCCCTGGCTCCACGTGGGTTGTGGCTGTAGGGCCTGGCACGGGGAGCTCAGAAAGGCCAGAAACGTATCTGCAGGCTACCGCTGGCTCTAGTAAGGCTTTCTACAGAGCATCTGAGCCAACGCAGCTGTAGAAAAGCAGCAATTGCGAGCTCACCACGAATGTTAGCCCTTACAGCCCCGAAGTTGAACCTCTATGTGGAAATACAGGATGTTACTTGTACTGGGGCAGGAACAGACCTACTGTAGGGTAAAGGGAAGCAAACAGAGTATTTCCAGGCACCTCTCAGGGGCTGCGCGGCACCAACCCAGCTGCCTCCCGGTCTTTGAGGAAGTGCCGGGTGCCGCGGCTGGAGCGACAGGGAAGGCTCCCCGCAGGGCACTTACTTTCGGATTCTGACGATTATTACTATTATTATTCGAAACCAACTAAAACCTCAACAATTAAACCTAAAATCAACGTGGCTGCATCCCCCCTCCGGCCCCGCCAAGGGCCCTCACCCGCTCCTGCTCCCGGCCCGCGCTCTCCGCCGGCAGCGAACCGCCCTTCCCGGCTCCCGCAGTCGCTCACTTGCGGTCTCCGATGGCAGCGCCGTCCCGCTCCTCCCGGCCCAGCTCCCGCACCCTTCGCTTACACCTGGCGTCTGCGGGACGGCGAGGAGAGGAGGAGCAGAGCCCGGCCCGGCCCCGCCGCCGGCACCCTCGGGGTAGGCGGCACTTCCCTTCCCTTCCCTCCGCCCCGCTCCGCTCGGCGGGCACCGCTGTGCCGGCAGGTAGGGAAAAGCTGATCCCTCCTTCCCTGCCCTCCACCCTGCCAATAGAACACCGCAACCCCGAGGCCATGGAGCCTCGTGGTTGTGTATGCACCTCACTGGGTATACTTGTTGCTTCATGGAGCCGCCTTGGGTGTGCAGGGGGTTGTTGCTTCTAGGTGGCTGTTGAGAGATTGGAGACTACAGAAACTAAGCTTAGTGCTGCGGGTGCGATGCCAAAGAGCAGGAAGGTGTGTTTGAGATGTAGGGATGTGTTGTGATGTACGGAATAAAAGTGGTGTGAGCTGGCTGGAGATAGGCAAGTGCTTCTCCGTGGTGGATTCGCACAGAAAGCCTTTATTGCCCTAAACCTTTGACTTGCTTGGTGGTGTAGTGGCTACATGAAACACAGTGAGGAAATAAACCCAAACTAAGCTAATAACTGGAAAGAGAAATAAAGAATATAAAGGAAAAGTTCTTTCAGATTAAACTCATCCTGACTACAGAGCCCCCAGAGGCCATAAAGGTGTAAATGATGCATCTTTGACACTCCATGGGCAACAGTAACTTTGGTTAGAGCAAAGCAGATAAGAAGTTGTCAAAGCACAGGTAAAATCACAGGATATTTGCTCCCCTTATTGCTGGCCTAGACTCGGCCACTGAGGCCCTGGCACAGGGAGCCCAGAGAAGCTGTGGCTGCCCCATCCCTGGCAGTGTTCAAGGCTAGGTTGGACACAGGGGCTTGGAGCAACCTGCTCTAGTGGCAGGGGTTGGAACTGGATGAGCTTTAAGGTCCATTCTAACACAAACCAACCTGGGATTCTGTGATTCAGATTGCCTGTGCATGCATCAAAATTGTGTAGGTGTCAGACATGCTTTGAGGCAGGTACTAGGCAGTTCATGCCTATTTAGGGCTCTCAGTCACCTGAGGGCACAGACGCACCTTCAATTGCCTCAGCCAGGCTCACCTGGGACCAATTCTCTAGTTAAACTCATGGTAGGTGTTCAGTCCTTGCATAAATGATGTTATGGGAGCAGTGGAGGGGTTACCCTCCAGTCCTGGCCTGGCCCTTCATATGGAGCAGTTCTGCTTTTACTGCTCCTTGGCAATGTCTTGACTCAATGGTTTTTGGATTTTCATAGCACAGTTTGGTAAGCTAGCTGGTTTTTATTATTTTTGATAATACAAGTATGTATGTAGATGAGCAACTCACATTTAGCAGAAAAGCCCATGAAGTAACATCAAATTCAGGTCTGAGTTGCTTTCAATAGTTAGAAAAGCTTAAATAGTTGTCAGTGAGACAAAATATCCTGGTGTGTGCTCTTTCTTTCTATGTGACCTTGTTTTGCATTACCTGTGTGGGTGGGACACAGAACTGAGAAGCTTTTCCTGGTGCTCCATCCTGCCTAATCAGAGACATGATGCAGAGGTCCAGGGGGAAGCTTGTAAACAGCTGAGTCTGCTGCTGCTCAGCGCAGAAGCAAATCCTTGTGGTTTCTTATTTAAACAAATAAAGCACCCATGCTCTGGGCAGAACTGCAGGGCCTTGATTAAATCAGGCAAAAAAGATGCTTGAGAGATAGCAAATATAAGTAAAGGTGGTTGCCAGGCCAGACGTATTAGCAAACATTGACTCTCATCTCCAGGTTGGTCCAAGTCTTGACCTCTTCCAAGCGTGAGCGCTGTTTTGTTGTTGTTTTTTTCTCCAGTTGCTTGTGAATAATTACCTTGAGGGAAGAGACTGTGGAGGTTGATATCAGCCTTGCTCTGCTGTGCCAGGAGGGCTATGGCGTGTGTTCCTTCTGCACTGCTCTGGAGAAAATGCCCTGCAATCCATGTGCCAGATCCTTTTGAGAGGGAGATGCACTCGCCATGTGTTGAAGGAGCTGGATGAAGAGGAAAAGACCTGGAAAAAAGCCAGAGGACAAAGAAGTTTGGGTAAGTTCTCTTTGAATCTAGCATACGCTGTTACAAGGTTTAGGTGCCGGGAAGTGGCTGGATTTTCAGTCAGCATTGACCATCCATACCCACAGCATTAAAGGCAGTGATGTTTTACTTCTGAGGAGGTGCAAAGTTAAGGTCTGTTTTGGATACAGCATGCTCATAGGAGGCAGAGGAAGTAGGATTTGAACCCCTGTAATTCTCCTAGCATTTGAGATGGTGGGTGGGGAAACTGTAATTGAGCAGCAACTTTTCTCTGCCGGAAGTCCTCTGGAAAAAGACAGGAAACCTCTACTTGCACCTTCTCAATCAGTTTCTAAGCTAAACCGCTCCGCTAGTCAAGAATGAGGCTAATGGGATATAGATAACCCATGACTTCATTCTTGGAGTTAGTGAAGACTGCATATGATCTGTTAGGAGTTTGATTCCTTTTCCTATGGGGTCTCCTAACTGCCTATAGCTAGGAGGCTCTTAGTAGCTAAATGTGTATTTTGAGAGCATGAGAATGTAACATCACAAAGAATAGTAATCATTTTTTAGTAAAAGACTTAATTCTTCTTCCAATACACTTTCTATAGCGCCTGCCTTCTTGTACTATGCTGCTGTTTTAAGTTATCACCAGTGGGCATATGAGGCTTTATTTTTTCTTGTGTTTATGTCACTATTAACAAACACAAGGTCTGGAGAAAGTGTCTTGTCTTCTTGATGGGCCTCTGTATATCTGTTATGATCTTACTTTAACTATGGGGAAAAGAATTTGCTCAGTATTAAACTTCAGATACTGTTGGGGTCACTTCAGCTCACGGATGCATCTGCTTCCCAAAATTCCATTCCTATCCAGCCTGCTTTACATAGGTTCTCTTCACATCCTCTATGTAGCAGACATAATATTTCTTCCTTCTCCATAAGCAGACTTTCCCACTTGGGGTGTGTCAGGCTGTGTCAAAAGCGGATCCAGAACAGAAACGGGGGGGGGATGGTATCAACTTGTGGCAAGGGCTGTATTTCCCCCAAGTTTCTTTAGGCACTTCCTCACTTCAGCTTTTCCAAGTGACTGCTCATGAGGGTGCCCTGAGTTTGGAGGGCAGTGGGTGAGCTCAGTGTAGGCTTTGAGGTAAAAGTTACATAGAGATATGTGCAAAATACTTACTTGCAGGGACATCTGTATCTGGCACTTCTGGATTTATTGAAGCTGTGAAGCTAAGAAGCTATTGTTGCTGTCGTGAGTATCCTGGCTTAGATTCCAGGTGAAGGGTGTGATAAAACTAAAGAGAGAATATCAGTGTTGTATCCCCATGTCTTATAGCTGGTCACCAGAGACTAGTTCTTCAGATAATGGCATCAAGTGTTAAGAGCCATGCCATCTCTCCCTGTGGAGAACTTGCACTGTTTTGTAATGAGGCTTCTGGAGTCTGCCTTTGAGACGTACCAGGCAGGCAGATGTGCTTTGTTGTGCTACAGAAGAATCCTTTTCACTGGCTGTAGTTGAAGTAGTAATGCATGGATCTCTTGTATCCCTACTAATAACCCCCCCAAGTCAGTTCAAGCCCTGGAATGAGTATCAGGCAGTACTGGCAAAGCTGTTGAGAAAAGCTGATCTTCACCACAGTGGATCTGTAGGTCTCCATGTTTAAAAGCTACTCTGTAATAAAGGGCCATGGTGAGAAGGATGGTAATACTTTAGTTTTGGTGTCTCTTGGCTATGCTGCCAGTTGATGAAGCCAGTGGCATAAGTATCTGAAACTTTGGCAGAAGACAGGACAAGGGGGGATGGCTTTAACCTGCCAGAGGAAGATTTGTATTAGACATTAGCAAAAAATGCTTTACTATGAGGGTGGTGAGGCACTGGCACAGATTGCCCAGAGATGCCGTGGCTACTCCATCCCTGGCAGTGTTCAAGGCCAGGTTGGACACAGGGGCTTGGAGCAACCTGCTCTAGTGGAAAGTGTCGCTGCCTGTGGCAGGGGGTTGGAACTGGATGAGCTTTAACGGTCCCTTCCAGCCCAAACCATTCTGTGAAATAAGACAATAAGAAATACCTTGTATATGTAGAACAGAAAAACTGAAAATGTCACCCTTTGCAAGATAACTGGCCTGCAGTACATGGAGAGATTATACAGAGCTAAGCAATGGTATTTGCATTAAGAGGAAAAATAAATCCCCTTATTTTATTCTTGCTTTAGGAGAGTTCAAACTTCTGTTGCAGGTCTGAACTGGGGTCGGCGGTTGATGTGACTGGGTGCAGAGCAGACAGCCATGATCCATTCTGAGTCAAGCTTGCAAAGAGTCTGTCTACCCTCTGGGCAAGGTGCTTCTGAAGGATTTTGAAAGTTGACCTTCTGTCACTGCCTGTTTCATGCTCATGATGAAACAGCGGCGTGTCTAGTGCAAAGTCTGAGTCATTTAACACTTATCAGAAACCCCTTTGATACGAGGAACAGAGAAGGGTGAGTGGGAGGGGTCTTGTTACACAGAGGAAACCAAGGGCAATGATGCCTGAAAATGACCACAACAATGTGTATGTGACCCAGACAGCTGATTGAATGACTCAGACCTCTGTCACACTGTTTTCAGCTGAAGCAATGATGCTCTGCAAAGCTTTAGTTGCAAGTAGCGCTCCTTTTCCATGACCAAGGATGAACTTATCCTATCATTCAGCTTTTTACCTTCCTTTAGTCCCTTGATTAGCCATACAGAGCAAAACACAGTGGTTTGGACTCTTCAGGCTATAAAAAAACCCCAACTGATGGCTTGGTTGTCAAATGTGATTCTTAGTGTTACCTTTTCTGTGCTCCTGTCAAGGCTACAGGGAGATGGTCCCAAGTGAAAGAATATTGGGCAACTATGAAAAGTGTATCTGCATGGTAAATTGAAAGAAGCACCTTTTCCTTCTCCACCCTTAGAATCTGAACACCTGCTCTGGAGTTGTAAAATTTGAGTTAGAGGTTAGTATGCCTGACTGTGTACTTTAAAAGTTCCAGGCTACAAGATACAGCGTAGTGTTGGCCAATGGGTTTAGTCTGCACTCGTGTTGTGTTTCTTGTAGATCCCAAGTCAAACTTTAACACATTCATGCTAGCTTTGTTGTGGGTGTGAGAAAGCAAGTAGCAGTTCTCATTCTGCAAGCAGGAAATAGGACTGGTGTGGCTACAGGGCTGTGCAAAGTTATACACCTTTCAGAGGGTGGAACTAAGGCTGAAATCCTGATGCCAAGGCTGGAGCTTTAGCTGGAAGGCCATGCATATTCTACTGCTTGTACATAAAGCTAATACTTTAACACCTTTGTAGCAGCCTTTTGGTAATAGGATGAGTTATTAGCAATAAAATGTGGCCATGTCCTGTAGGACTGTGTGTGGGTTTGGTTGGTGTGTGCTGATCTGCAGTCTGCTGCTTGCCAAATAACTGCGCCTCTGTTATCCACCCCGCAAGTTTTGATAACAGTGTTCCCTTTTGTTCCAAAACTACAGTTCTGAGATGCTGGGGTGAGTAAAGCTATACAGTATTACCACTGTGTCTGTTATAGATCTTTTAGTCTGTTAATATTATGTGCACTGTATCATGTCTGATGAGGATGTCTCGCAGTTGTACTCCTAGCTGTTGGAACAGGTGAAGTAAAGGTCCCAAAGGCAAGCAGGATTTGATAGTATTCCTTCTAAAACTGGAATGCAGAAGACTGGCTTCAAAATAGTTGTTTGATTACATGCTCTTATTAGAACTGTTTTCCTTAGGATACTATTTCTCAGCTGGAGTGACATTCTGAGATATTATCTGAAGCTGGATTGGGGCTGTTTGATGGAAGCTTTTAAGATAAATAGACTCACCTTTGTTTGACCTTTTCAGTTTGAAACTGTTCAGATTAATACCACCCAGAGTCATTCTTCATCCTTTTTAAGACACTTTAAATATTACAGCTGTACTTACAAGGTCTAAGTGAAGCTGAACGTCGTATGTCTGTGCAGATTGACTAAAGACAGTCTTGCCCTAAGGAGCCTGGAGCTGCAAGAGGAGAACCTTGTAGGGTAAAAGAATAACTGGAGATTGCAGAGGGGTTCAGTTGTAAATGGGATGTTTCAGAGACACAGGGATTTCAGGCAGGGCTGTAGAGGTGTCTTTTGTGGGCAGGATTAGCCCCATGGGCCTCCATTAGAAGATCTGAAGAGGAATTCCCTGGTCCATGCAACGTGGTGTGGAGCAGGAGGCTGCATCTCGCTATGAAGCAATTCATTAACAGACTTGTATTTTAAGTGATGCTTCTGTGGAAGTGGGTTGTGCAACTCTCCTGAATGAGTAAGTTCTGATGAAAGCAATATGCATGATGCGTTGCTAAACTTGGTTTTCCCACCCAAACATACAACTCTTTATGCTACACCCAGCCTTTTAAAAATAGAAGCTTTAAATAAGACTTTCCTGTCTCTATTCTGGCATCTAAATCGGTGTCAGCATTTTCCAAAGGGCTGGGCAGTGTCTGGAGTTCCCCCACAAGGGCTGTGACCAGTGAAAGATGTAGCAGAGGTACCACTCTGAAAGATCATGTGCAGATTCATGTGCCTGAGGGTAGGTTTTCTCCTTGATATTCCTTTCTCCTTCCTCCCCGGTCTCTTGGTGGATTAACAGCTCTTAGGATTTTACCATTGCCCTCATGTTAATTCATGTTTCTCAAAGCTTCACCTCTGCGAGGAAGGCTAGACTCTGAGAACAGTGTGTTCCAAATGGAATAGGGAATATTGTATTGCTTATTTAAATACTAATTTAAGAAGAAAACCCTCACCAAGGCACATCTCTTTAAAAACTGGAGAAGTTTTCAAGCCTTGAAGTACTGCTCTAAGTATCTCTTTACAAAGGAGGGATCTCTGAAGATGACTAAACCAGTAGTTGTTATAATAGAGGTGTCACTCGCATCTCTTTATTTTTCTGGCCCTGACCCAATGTTGTGCTTCTTGCCTGTGCTTGTGCTTGTGGTTGGACCAGTTGTTATTTTCTTCCCTGTGGCAGAAGAA